GACCGAATCCAGGGTAGGGATTTAACCTGAGTAAATTGTCAGACAAAAGTCTCCCTAGTCCTCATGAAAATAAAGTGAAGATGGAGAGGAGATGAAATAACTCAGACTTGCACAATTCTTCTGTTATAGCTTTGCAATAAAAGTAATGCTAGTCTACACATGGATTCCTAGTCTCATCTGCCTTCAAGAGCTGACAGGAGGCTTTGAGAGTCTGGATGGGAAAAAGCAAATTGAAACCCTGGGAAGGTGGATTTACTGCTTGTTCATCATTGGGTGGAATAGCACTGCCTGGAAAGACCTGAAGGTAGAATTCATCCAGAGTGCAATAGCCACATAATTAACTGCTGATTATTACTTTGGATGTATGGCAACCATTTTGTAGGCCCTGCAATGGTTATCGGTTTCCAAGCTCAATTCAGATGTTACCATGACTGCGAGCTTATCACCTGAATATCTAAAGCAGGGATGTCAAACTCTATTTCATTGAGGGATGCATCAGGGTTGTGTTTGACCTGGGGGGGGGCATGGCCAGCTCAACATCACTCCTGGGGTGGCCCCAGTGCTCTGCCAATAAAAATGGGCTCCCAAGCTCCGTTTTCTACTGCCATGGCCTCTTACAACCCTTTGCCAGTGAAACCTGAGCTCAGGAGGGCCGCATGCCTTGTCGGGGGTGCCTGGGATGTCCCAAGTGCTCTGCCAGTGAAAACGGGCTCTCGAGCTCCATTTTCATTGGCATAGGGTTGCAGGAGACTATGGCAGCTGAAAACGGAGTTTGGGAGCCCGTTTTCACTGGCAGAAGCACTGTGGGCTGGTTGCTGTTTCCAGGGTGGGCCCGTGGGCCAGATCTAAGTATCCTGTGGACTGCATCTGGCCGATAGGCTTTGAGTTTGATATCTCTTACCTAAAGGATCATATGTACCAATTAAGACAATATGTCACAAGATCCTCTCAAGAAAAATTACTTTGCCTTCTTTGGGGGGTGGGGACAGCGGGAAGCTAGGGTTTTTTAAATCATGGTTCCCATTCTCTGAAACTGCCTCCCTCTGGAAGATAGGCTACCCCGGTCCTTAGTTATTGCCTTTTGGAATATAGTAGAGACTTCTGGAGGACATTTGGTTACATATGAAATCAGATTTTGTTAAAAGTACTTATTATTGGTGTTGATTTTTATTGTTTAAATAACTTAATCTGCTATTATAATAGGATGACTTGTTCTATTTTATTGCAAGCCACTGTGATTTACATTAAGTGCCACATAAATTTGATAATTGTGATTCTGTACTGGTGGAAATATAGAAGGTCACACAGCAGGATGTGTGCACAGAATGGACACAAAATCATAAACTAAAGGACAGAAGGGATTTGACGAATCATCTAGCATAGTCCATGCCAAGTCCAGTGCAGGAATCCACTACTCTGGTGTTTATTTAAACATTTCTGGCAAAGGCAAATCTGGCTTTTCCTTAGACTATGTGATCCTATGAAGGGCTCTTACATTAGGATATTTTTTTCATGATGCTGCTGGATTTCGTGAAACTTCCTGCCTTGCCTGCTTCCGGAACACCTCTATGCATTTCTGCCCTCTCTTCTCCATGACAACCTTTAAGATCCTTGAGGACAAGTGTGTCATCTTTCTGCAGTTATAGCAATCCCTTCCCTCTCCACATTTCTCTGATGAACAAAGTGCAGCCCTCCCTCCTGAACTCCTGTTTGCTCTCTTTTTTTGCTGACTCAGTGCAGCTAATCACTCTATCCTATGTCTACTGAATGGCAGTTTCACAAACTAACAGATTGTAGTTACAAATATAGGAAAAGCAGATAAAAAGAGTGGCCTTCTCCAGTTGGTTGTCTTTATTTTTCCTGCAGTCAACCCAAAGAAGTAATGTGATTACAGAAGTGATTCACTGATGATCAGAAACTGTATCTTCCCCTTTCCTACTTTATGGGAAATTATACACAGGTAGTCCTTGACTTGTAACAGTTCATTTAGTGACCAAAGTTACAATCGCATTGAAAAAAGTAACTTTTTCACACTGTTGCAGCATCCCCATGGTCACATGATCGAAATTCAGATACTTGGCAATTGACTCTTTTTTTTGATTACCGTGTCCCGATGTCTTATGATCATCTTTTGCGATCTTCTGACAAAGTCAATGGGAAAACCAGATTCACTTAACAACCGTGTTACTAACTAAACATCTGCAGTGATTCATTTAACAACGGTGGCAAGAAAGGTCATAAAATGGAGCAAAATTCACTTAACAAATGTCTCAGCAACAGAAACTTTGGGTTTAATTGTCATAAGTTGAGGACCACTTGTAGTAGTTTAACATTTTTAAAACAGTATCCTCAAAATCGAGGCTTAAGTGTAAATAAAAGTACTGCATGATGTGACATCTACAGCAGAAACAAGTAATTTTAATAACATGTCATAGAGTTTCATTAAAAAAATTCATTTTTCAATTAAACAAAGGATCAAAAACATTTTTGTAAGTTAGCCTATCGTTTTTCACTGATAATATGGGTTCCATTTTTATCTATAAATGCAGACAACTCTTTGAATTAAAATCCAAACTAAAATTACTGCCCTACCAAATTGCAGAATTGTGTGTAGGTGTGTGTATAAACATTACTTTAACAATGTAAACTTATTTAAAGAAAAATATTTAGAAGTATTTTAAAGAGTTCATCAACTGTTTTCAGTTCACTTATTAGAACTGAGTATTTCTTTGGACCTGCTAAGAGTTGCATAGCTCCATTGATTGCTTCCATGCAAGTGAAACCTGATCTTTAACAGATGTTTGAGAAGCTGCCAGTGTTCTCTATGATCAGTAGGCTAGACATTTTAAACTGTGTTAATATCTTATTATAGTAATGTTAATGCATTTTAAAATGCTACTTAAAAGGAGAAACTGTTATAAACAGACCCACAAACAAATATGATTTCTTAACATATTTTAGCTATTTGTGTAAGTATTAAGTATCTTTTGCAGAAACAAGCTAAAGTGTACTTCTAAATTTGGATTCTGAAATTTTTGGCATTTTGATTTTCAGAGCTTTCATGTGAGTGAAATGCTTTCTTGCCAAATCAAAGCATAAAGTAAAATATACCACATTTGGAAGAGTTGACTAAATAACATGCAGTAGCTCTTTATGAAGGTGACTTTTTAAGCTGTATTTTAAAGGGAATTTCAACTGCTTTGTTGAAAATGTGTAAGGAATCAAAGCTTCTGTTCATTTTTATCTCTGCTAGTTAGATTTCTGGTGTAAAACTTGATGTGTTCTGATGAATACTTCGAAAATACCACAACACAACATCCACCCCCAACTTGCACCCAAATTTTTCCCTGCCTCCAAGGGCACTCCCCCATGTAGCATACCATACTTCTTACCTGGGACTCTATTTTTGTTTTATGACCCATGCTTCTTGGGTTATGACAACAGGACACCTGGATCTCCAGTGGTCACATGAACTCATGCTTTATGACACAGCACTTATTAACAGCAATTCATGTCTAAATTGCGGTTGTAACTCAAGGACTACCTATAAAACTTTTCCACTGCTAAGCCATTGAATTGCTTTGTATGAGGGCAAGTCTAGAATGTTCTGTTTCTGAGAAAAAAGCACAGAATTGACACTGCACAAAAATGAAATAAGTTCACCATTGATACTATTGGTTCCATAATAACACATGATTAAAATATTGTACAAAAGTGCCTGCTGATGACTATGCAATGAATAACCATGGGCTTTTTTAAAAAATCCTTACATTTTCACAAGGTATGTAAATTTGTGCAACTAAGCCTGTTTGTTCTGCTCATACATGTTTACCACAGTCAGTTTAAACGCATTTAATGGACTACAAGTTGCACTGAACTAGTGTTTTCTCAACTTCTTTGAAACTGTTCTTGCCTGTAGTTGTTCCACACAAACTATTTATAGAGGCTAAGTCTTCAGTCATTTCCTTGAATAAACAACAACAACTGAGCAGTATTAGTAACATCTGTGGACTCATCTGGAGCCAAGGAAAACCACCAGAAATAATTTGCTTTTTTAATTGATTATTGAAGTTGCTCCCAGTGTCCTCAACTCTTGGGGCAACTGTTTTTTCAGTCTTAAAATAAGTATTTTTTATGGACACATTCGGCAATCAAACACAATTTAATTAACTCACAATCAATAAACAGCTTTCCTTGCTGGCTAACAAATGAACCACATAGAAACTTACTTTGGTTGCAGCTAAATATTGTAAATGTAGCAGTCGCTTTCCGCTTTTTAATGCTTATTTACCAAGTAAGGAGATTAAAATTGAGGGATGCTATTTTTTTTTCTCCTGACATTCTCATTTATAATAATGATTCTCTCACTTTTTTAGACAGCATTAAAGATTAAAACCAAATATATATTTTAAAGAGAAGTTTTTGGTGCAACAGCAGTTTTAGAACAATGCGTTTTGAGTTTTTCCTGTGGGTATCCCCTAACGTGCAGTAACACTTTCATATAATAGTGTAAGTCAATAGTTTATCCCGTGTAGGAATTAAATAGTAACTGGAGGAATTTCATATATTCAGAAAAAGAGTCCTTTAAAAAGGGAACCATTATCATAATGCGTTGTCAAAGTTGGATGCAAAATATGGGTTATGGTCATTTGTAGTTAAACATGTATTCTTTATGAGTGGAAAATGTTTTAAAAGTTCATTTTCTTGAAATTTCTTTTTTTTCCTGTTAGACTGCCTCTTTGCTAACCTCCATCTATGAAAAAGAGGGAATACATTTATCAGATTTTGATATCTATTATTTGCATTCTTTGTTCTCAAATGTTGCATTAGATTTTATACGGTGTTTTTTTTCTTAAATCAGAGCTTAAAAACTAAGCATGAAATAATTTAGAAAAGTTCTAAATATCAACGTGTTCTGCTAGCCTTTTTGTAGTAAAGCTATGCAGTAATAATTGTTTAATAAATTAGTAAACAAATAATTGTTTAATTTGTGTTCCTAGGTATATGTGGAATTTGATGATCTTGAATGGGAAAAACGAGAATGGGTTAAAGTTTATGAAGATTTTGCAGCATTCCTTGTGGAATACCAACTGATCTGGGCAAAGAGGAAGGATCCTAGCCAGTCTCAGGGATCAAAACTCAAGCATATTCAGTGGCCTGCACTGGTAAGATGCCTATTTTATGTTTTTAACTTCCATTGAGAAACTTTAGAAAATACAGTAGTGTTATTTTGCTGTTTGCAATTTCTAAATCAGTCTGTTTGTAAAAACCTCCTGTTATGAGGGCATATGATGTAGTATTCTTCATTGATTAGAAAAACCATGCAGCTTGTTTTTTTCTTCTTTCAATTCTAAAATCAGATTGGATCTTGATACTGCTCTATTTGGGATGTACTGTTGCTAGCTTCTATTTTGACACTTCACAAATTTCATATTGAAAGTATTCTACAACTTTTTGCTATTGGCATTATTCCTGCCACTTAGCTCAGCTGTTTTTTTCTGTCTTACATAAGGGTCAGGCATAAGTGTCTGCTAGCCATGTTTTTCATTTCCTGCCGAGATTTGTGATGCTCTCTGATCTTCTCTTGTTCATCTTGGGGCTACTGTGCAAAGTTACTGGCTTCCAATTAAACATTGTTCTCATTTCTTATTCTCATGAGGATCTTTGTATGCAGCCTACCATGGATGAGCTGAACAGACAAAGAGACTTGGGTTGCAGTTTTTTTCTCCCAGCTGTTTTGATCTGTAATGTATTAATTTCTGAATGAGCCATCAAGTGAGAACCCATCGTGCATTAGTTTAGCCAATCCCTGAATAAGGCTTACAATGTGACTAGAGATACAAGCTTCTCTGAAATGGTTGCTTCCCTTGCTTTCTTCTAATGTTCAGGATTCTCTTCAGTGGATTTGTTTGGTAATGCAAGTTTCCTTCATTTGTGGGCTATCTGGGGCAGAGCGGATTCTAACAAATCAGTGGTTAACGATCTTAAAATCATCTTAAGGTTTTTAAGATTTTAGTCTCTTTAGATTTGATTAAAATTTAAAAAATAAATAAAATCTGAAAATTACAGTAATTCAACAAAAGATTTTGTCAGGTTTATTCAATTTTCTCAGAGAATGTTTAGAAAAAGTTGGTGCTAATTACATCTGGCCCTCAACTTACAACAGTTCATTTAATAACCATTCAAAGTTCAGAAAAGTAGCATTGTCAATGGTTTTGGATTTTGCCAAGAGATTTTGAATGGGGATGTACAGAGTAACAGAACTGTTAAAACAGTTTAAAATTATCTAAGTACTTTGGTTCATCTAAATTGATTAAATTCATAACCAATATGTTTAGATTTCTGTCCCTTGTTTTTTCATCTTAATAGTTGGAAATCTATATGCTAGTCGTACACCAGCTCAAATAAACTTTTGTAATGGGATTTTCAGAACTACTAATAAAAAAAGTAACCTGGTCATAAGTCACATTTTTCAGCACCGTCATAACTTTGAACAATTGATAAAGAATGGTCATTAAGCAAGGACCTCCTCTATTATGAAACAATGAAATTTTTGGAAAGTTGGCTATTTCCCAAAAGCCTTTCACTAATACCATAGGTGTTTTTATCTAAGGCAGATTAATATGAAATTCCTCCTCTGTGTTATTAAAAGAAAATGTTAGCTAGCGGAGTCAAGTTGATCAATCCTTTTCATGGATATTAATAAGGTGTTTCATATTTGGCTCAATGCAGGGCACACAGTAGTCATTCCATTTTAGTAATTACAGACATATTGTCTTGATAAGCATTTCTCTATTTTAAGCTCCTTAATTAATGAGAGCACTCTTAAGGAAAAGGCAGGATTTATGACAAATATTGACCAGTATCTGATATTCGAAGGGAAATAACTGTAGTCCTTAAAGTTTTCCAAGCAAGTTCTCTGTTGTGATTAGATCTGCATATTCAGAAAACTGGTTGTGCTGGAAGTTACAATCAAAAGTCATAGGTGTGAAGTCCTTGGTGCTCTCAGAGCTTGGTTGTTTGCTTACAGACATTTCATTTCACAATATGCAGATGTTTCATTACCCAGCTAGGTAACATGATCCATGCAGTGATGTTCCAAGGACTTCAGACAGTTCAACCCTCAGCTACCTATTCTACTCTGTTAAAAGGCATAGGGCCTGATAGTCTGAGGGACCACCTTTCTACCTATCCAGTATTCACAGAATGAACATGCTCCCATATCTAAGACAGTGTAGCCCTAAGGCAGTGATGGCGAACCTTTTTGGCATCGCGTGCCAAAAGCGGGGAGAGGGCAGGTTGTCTTGGGTATGTGTGCCACACCCATAATAGTATTCATGCAGACCCTCCCCATGCGCATGCAACCACCACCACCCGCACATGCGCGCGCGATCCCTGCCTTCCCTGCTAACATTTGGTGCACGATGGTCCCATTTTTCCACTCTCCCCAGGCTCCAGAGGATTTCTAGGAGCCTGGGGAGGGTAAAATTCCCCCCCCCCGAGGGTCTCCGGAGGCTTCCAGCACCTTCCACTAACAACCGCAGGACCTACCGCTCCCTGCTGCCTTCAGAGGCAACGGAGGCGAACGCTATCCTTGGTGGGGCAGCCGTGCTCATGTGGTCCTGGCCTGAAGCCTCATGACCCTCCCACCCAGCCAACCACGGCTCACCTGCATTGGGAGGCACCTGGCAGCGCCGGCGGTCTCCCCGATAGGTGGTGGGCGGTTGTGGGTGCAGTGCCCCCGATGCCCAGTGCCTTCCACTGGCGCAGAAAGGGTATGCAATTGGGAAACAAGTTCCCCAGGGAGGGGGGAATGACAGAGAGATTGGCCCATCAGAGTGTGTGTGTTTCCCCTGTTTGACATGGGACCAGTGCTGGGATGAGTCGCTCCACCGGCTGTTTTCATTGTGAAGTAGGAAATCTCCCTCCGTGGACTTGAGGAAAAAGAAAGCCTTCTTTTTCCCCCTTCTCAAATGGCAGCATGTGGAGAGAGAGGG